CTTTGCTTTTTTTTCTTTACTGTCACTCGCTCGGAGGCTCTTTTGTTTCTTCAACTCTTCCTCTTTTCAGCTTGTGGACCCAGCCCACCTCCCCCATCCCACACTGCCACCTGCACCCCCTACCTGCACCCCCCTCCCCCTCTTTTTTTGTTGCGTTCAGACAGCTTATTTTTATCATCCTGCTTCACCTCCCACTTCTTCAGTGAGCTGCTCTCTAGCTACTTGATTTTTTTTTTTGTGTGTGTGTGTGTGTGTCTTGCCGTTCTACTCAGACAGAAGCTGAGAGGGTCGCTGTGCGCCTCGGGCTCTTTTTTAAGCCCTTGTGTGTTCATTATGTGCAAGTGGAAGTGGCCTACGCTAATATTGAAACACGCTAGACTGACCCGAGATCATTATCCATTCGCATGAGCAGCAGCAGACAACATTTTCCTCTTGATAGCATTTGCATGCATCAGCAGCCAGGATATGGCTCAGCCTTATCATTCATTTTAATGATGCTTCATGTGTGTATTCAGTGTGACACGCCCGGGCGGGGATGGGCAGGCATCTCTCGTGTGCGTGTTTTTTAGGTATTTTTTCCCCAACATAGAAAGAATTGTGGCTGTAGTCGCGAGAGGGTGAGAAAAATCATCATCTGAAAAGTCTTTACTTGTGGCTGGTCTCTTGCTGGAACCTGATCCTCTGCACTTTTTAACACCACGGTTTAGCGGATACAGTGATCCCTCGCTATTTCGCGATTCCCTTATTGCGGATTCAGTGCATCGTGGGTTTTCTGTATTCAGAAAAAAATGCCAAATGACTCCGAGGTTTTGTGTATGGCTGCACACGTGATTGGTTCCCGGCACGACGTCGACCAATGACAGCATGAGTGGATTCATCCCGTGAGCTGATTGGCTGTACATCTTCGCAGCCCCGCCCAGCACCTTCCCTTGCGTCTCGTCACGTGGTTTACGCTCTGATCAATGTGTCATCACGCAGTTGCCACTTTGATCAGTGTCGAGCCACACTGTTGAATCTGATCAGTGTCTCACGTTGTTTTGTTTGCGGTGTGCTTGCTGGAGGAGGGGCGGGTGCGAGAGCAAAGCGGGCGAGAGAGAGAGAGAGGGGGTGATTGGGATTATCCGAAAAAAGCAACACTTCTTTCGTCGCCTCCTCCTCATCAATACAGATTCATTGTTTTATCATAAACACATCGGCTGCGCGCAGATAGCTGGCCAGCTTGTGTTACTCTCACTTTATGCTGCTCTGACAGTGGAGCCGCAGTTAGGCTCCAGCTAGCTGATGGAACCA